ATAAGATCTTGTGTCTGAATGGAAAAGTGTATTACTTGCTGAGGGTAATTATTTTTCGGAATAAATCTAAGTTTAACCCTTTTTATGTTATTATTTCGCTACCTTCAAAACCGCACGAACTTTTTTGGTTGCCTGATACTTCCATTCAGAATTTCAGACCAAGGGCAAGTATTTCGAGAAAAAGGTATCACCTTACTTCCCCTCCGACCTGATGTTTTGATGGGAATTTTCTTTTCAAATATGCACTCTTCCAGAGAGCAACCAGTTGGTTTATCAACGTCTATAGGCCCTCTAGAGGCTGGTTCCAAAGAAGTTGAGTTCACAGGGAGAGTCTAATGTCGGTCATGGTTACTGACTTTTTGTCGTATTGGCTGGACGCTCCTAAAGAACTATTTGGACCCCTCCCCAAGAAACATGACTGGTAGCCTTTTTGTTAATGCTCCAAGTAATTGTTAATATCTCACGTGAAAAGCATAGCGTGAAATAGTACTGAAAAAACAGCTCGAAGAACATCCTACTCAGTGCTAAGTCTACCCGCCCTTAAGTGGTGTAAAGCACTGTTGTTGGTAACAAGGACAGAGCAGCAAGGAATTCGTACAGGCAACAAGGAGCGAGAAGAGTGGCGCTTTTATCCCTTCTTTAGAGTTCTTTCTAGAGAGATGTGTAAGCCTTTTGGTGACGAAAACAAATCTTTCTTTGGCAGGGTGCAAGGTTTTTTTTTGCAAGCGGTGCTCGTTTTGGAATTTTGGCTTGTTCTACTTTTTCAGCTTCTCCCCCTTGATTTCTCCGGTAACCGCTCCGTGAAAATGTCATAAGTTTGTCCTCTACTATTGTTAAGGACCTATGTTGATACTGTCGTGAAGTTTGCTATTGCTTGAAACAATGTGCTTCATATCCCCCAGTGCAGTCACCGTGAAATTTTTTCAAGCCGACTTTTTTTTCCTGAACGCACTGATTATTTGTCTCAGGCGTAGACTCGTACACTTCCTGATCGAGGCTGTTATTAAGGACCCTCCTTTGGGCGCTTTAAGATGTTTCGTCTCGTTTGCTTTGCCTACCGACTCTTACGTGCCCTCTGCTCCCGTTTTTTTTGCAGAGAACCAGATTAGGCGCTCACAGCCTCAAGCATTTAGACGACCTTACAAATAAGCAGACCAGGGCACATCATCGTTGGGAGACTGCTCAAGGTGGGGGGGGGGGGGTGTTTGGTCTGACAAAAGACTATTGATAGTTGATTTTTCTTGTTTCAGGGAAGCTATGAAAGGGAGTTGTTGACTTTTCGTGTTTTTTGTTTGGTTTTTCCGTGTTCATAACTACTACACTGCTACTATATCCCCCTCCCCGCTCGACAGCAAAATTTTTGGGAAAGGTAGGTAAATTCTAGGGGAAATTCCGGATTGTAGGAAGTTGGGAAAATCAAGTTAGGTAGGATGGAGATTGAGGGTACAGAGTAGGTGGGATCTAATTATATAATGCAATGGAAAATCAAGAATGGTAGGTAGGGATGGAGGGATGGGGGACCGAGAGGGGGGATCTAGTACAAATGAATAAGGATCGTGTTTTCCTCACGGTTATGCGGTTTTTCCCTTTCCACATGCGCTACACCCTCCCACCTCGCTCGTCAGCCCTCGGCCAGAGGAGGGAACTAAGGGGGAGCACCAAGTCCTTCCGAAAAGAGGGATCGTATGTCGACCAGAATCTTTAACCAATGTGTGCCCTGAAGCAGGCAAGCATTGCACCTGAAGCCCCATTGAGTCCAACAGGGAGCTCACTAGATCAGCTTGATCACGGCGAACCATGCCAAGCAAGTGGGGAACTGGTCGACGACATGAAAAGCTTTCGCGATCTCAAGCATCGTTTTCACTCGACGGGAAGGGTCTCGAAACCTGGTGGATGGGTTCTGCAGGTAGCCCGCGAGGACGCCCCATGCGATGCACATTTGCAAGGTACAACTTCCCATCTCATAAGTGCTCGGATCAGCTTTAAGCGTCGTAGGAAGCATCGTTCCCTGTTCATACACATTATAAGTTTTGAGATATACTTCTGCAGTTTGAGCACCTAAATCAAGTGCCAAATATGGTGTTAAGAACTCTCACCTGCGCCTACGCTCCACATCAATAAACGAGAAGTCGGCAAAATTTGGGAGCGGATAGAAAAATGAGTACAGTGTTCCACAGAGCAGAAAGTTATCTTTTGAAAAAATAGAACCCATTGGGAACAATTGCCACTTTCACACAAATTTCAGTGTAATACAAACCCAATCAGTGAGCCAATCAAACACTTCGAAAACGCCTATTATTTAAACCAAAACCCAAGATGGAGATTTTCCAAGTAAAATTTCTCTGCGGTAGGGTTCACTCTGGCTTCTTTATTTTGCTGTATAAAGGTCTTGTTTCCGGCCCTCTGCACCAGCGGCAGGTCATTGTTGTGGCACGTCGGTGCGAATCTGAAGGCCACCGAGACGGAACTGAAGGATGTGTACAGGGACTGTATTCCCTACATTTCGGCGCTAATAGCTAATAATTGTTGGAGACCAAGGCAAACTGAGATAAAGACATTCGTATGAGCTTTGTCTGGACGTATCCCAATCGCACGTGTTTTTTCCTGTGCTGTGCGCAGAGGGGCTATTGTTATAATATCGTGATCCGTTTGCACGTCTGCGACTAACTGATAAAACTTCCCAAACATGAATTATATTTCTTCCTGATATACACCGTTTTCTCACCATTTCTCGCCGTCAGTTTAATCTCGAGAACAAGAATGTATTCTGTAGCTGAGATATTTTCAAGAAAAGCTGCTTGAGGAGGAATTATATACGTGAGACAATCCAATAAGAAGACAGTAGCTCGCAGCGCGTTTCCTTCGAAATTATCAATTAAATTGATGAAGTGAGGATGATCTGCTCCATCACAGTAGTACGCAGTCCGTATTTCGAGGCAGAAGAGTTCACGAACTTGGTTAGCAGTGCATAGGGGGGGGCAAAAAAAGGTACTTCGACCGAGCCACATCTCAGCTAAGTTTTCGCAGCCCAGACAGAGAACGTGGATACGAGGGCGGAAGATACCCAAGATGTTCCTCTATAAGCAGGAGCTGGCTCTCGCCCATCACCTTCATGTACACCAAAATATGAAGTCATCTCCAGTCGCATCCTGACTGGAAGAAAGATCTTTGGAATCCTGTCACCTCCAAACAGCTGCGGAACTTCTAGTGCGGAGTCACCTATAGATAGCTACCTGGAGACCAGCTACCTACTCTCAATCTGGAAGACCTCCATCTCGAGCAGCTCCGACAACGTCGCTACGGTCTAGGACATCATCTTCACCACAGTCACCAAGGCGCGGGTTGATGGTATGGACCGGAAGTACCTAAAATGGTAAGACCGTTATTTTCTTCGTGGACCGTGAAGGTGAGCGCTGGCGGTTACATCGAGCGACTCTAGAAGAACTTCATGTCGTCTCCCGTACCTTCTTGGAAACTATGTACTGCTACAGGATTGGGTGACACCACATGGAATGGAGGGCGTTGGAAAAAAACTCTTCGCCCACTGGGAATGGGTCAAGGGCGTTGCAGTTAGCGCTGAATAAGATGGAATATCTAAGCACACCTGAACTGAACCCCCACAATTACCTGGTTTGGGCGAAGCTCAATAGGGTAGTCCACAGTGGCGCAAGTATAACCAAACGGACCCTCGCTGAACTCGGCACCCACTCACGGTCGCGTGGCAGAATCTCTCGATGGGGCTTCTCCAGAAGGCTGTTTCGGAATATTGTGACACTATTTAATATGCTCTTTAATGTGGTGGTTGAAGTGCCCGATCAGATGTTAATGAAGTTAAACTAATAGCGCCTCGGAAGTCAAGGAAGGAAAGTGTTTTTTTGCCCCCCCCCGTATGTTTGGCGGCCCATAAGTAAACTCCTTTTTTTCTTATTCGAAATTTTGCATGTAAGACGAAACCTTCTGCTAGGATGCTATAGTATCTGATAGTTTATCTTTTTCAGATATTTCCTACTGATTTTTTTGAGAACAGTGACTATGTGGGAGTGTTGATTTTTTTTGTTTGATTGTTTTTGAGGTGAAGATGATGTCCCGTGCGGCCACCGCCCTTCCTGGCAGAGAGGGCAAAGGCAGAGGGGGAGAAATCTCACGAGAAGCGATCTGCCAAACAGTTTCCTAAACATTGGAACAATAAACGCTCGAGGTCTCGTTAACGACTATGTGATCGATCAGCTAGTATCTGAAATGGACAGGTGTGCGATTGACGTAGCATGTGTCCAAGAAACGTTAAGAAGCAATGCAGGAAGATGGAGTTGGCACACTGGACATGAAGTGATCTTAGGAGCTGGCTCAAGCAACGGAAAAGTCGGAGGAGTCGGATTCATAGTATCGCCACGTCTCACTGCAAGGATTGCCTATTGCGATGTAGTGTCTGAAAGAATTGCGATCCTAATGCTCGAACTAGGCAAAAAGAAGACGATGAAATACTGCTGTACCGTACATCATCCACCACCGGTGCAATACGCAAGATGAAGCCGTTGTGAAGAGTTCTACGACCGCTCGAAATAAACGCAATTGTGCGCCACTTACTCCAAAAGGAGCATATGTGTAATCGACTGGAGACTTCAATGCCCACTTAGGATGCGGAGAACCTGATGAATCCTATATAGGGCCATACGGAATACCTGGAAGAAACAGCAGAGGAGAGGCTTTAGCACAATTCACCGAACGGAGTCGATTATCAGTGGCAAACTCATATTTCCAAAGCGTGTAGGACGTCGCTGGACATACCCATACCCCGAACAGGCAGATGTTCCACGAAATCGACTTCTTCTAACCAACTCGCTTACGCCTCTGTTCACAGACTTACAGTGATCGGAGAATCGCATTTTAATATTGGATCGGACCACCGTTTAGTTCGAGCCACAGTAGCAATAAAGCTCAGAGAAGAAAGGAGACGATTAGCTGCATACTATTCGCAACGTGCTCAATATGTGCTCTCTGAAGAACGACTAAAAGCGCTCGCTTCCACGACAAACTTTTCTTCAGAACAGGGAAATGTTCACAGCAGATACGAAAAGTTGATTTCTACTATTCGGGATGTAGTTAAAAATGCTTCAGAGCGCGTTCGAAGCAAGACGACTCTCGGGAACGATTAAGTGCTACTACGCTGCAAATGTTGGCCACTCGGAAGGAATTGGGAAAAACTATGACTCCTGTGGCTAGAACTATATTAAACAAGGCTATACGCTATAGAGTGAAGAAAGAATATCGTGGAAGATGGCAATCAATAGAGCAAAGAAGCCCAGCTGAAAAATGCACGACATGCAAAAGAACATTCATGCAACACATCGACTCCCCAAAACCATTACCGCTGAATATCTCACAACAAAGATAAGCAGGCTCTGTTTCAGGAAGTAAAAAGGAATGATGGCAGTGAGAAATTCGGCGGGGAACACTTTTTTCCAAACTCTTCTCCACAAGAAGTCGCTGCGTGCAACCTAACATGGATATTGTTGCTGAGTGGACGATGATCGGACACACTTGCTATGCGAGCGAGTGGAAAGTACTTCTGAAACGGAAGTCATTGAAGCTATTACAAGCAGACTGAAAGGAGGAAGAGCGCCTGGAGGCCGCGAGATCGAATATGCAAGAACACCTGAAAATGTCCTGAAGTGGTTGCATTGCCCGACACCCTTGGCAGCACATTATTCAACGAGAAATGCTGGCGTCGGGAACTGTACCAAAGGAATGGCTGGGTTCGAATACCATTTTGATCCACAAAAAAGGACCGCGTGATATACTGGCCAACTATCGTCCTATAGCGCTCCTGTCCACAATACTCAAAATCTTCTCACGTATCATCCTCAACCGCATAAGTGGAACACTCAATATAAATACGAGAAGAGAACAAGCCGGATTTCGTGAAGGCTTTTCAACCATCGATCAGATACATGTCATTTCTCAACTTGCGGAAAGATGTCGAGAGCTAACCCTGAACTCCGCTATGTTTCTTTTTTGACTTCAAAAATGCATTGATACGGTCGAACACGACAAAGCGGTACTAAAACGCCACTTGCCACGTTCGAGAATTTCAGAGAGATATAATTGAAATAGATACGACAAATGTAACCACGGAGTCTGCTACATCTGACATAAAATTGCTCAAAGAACCAGTTCGTGTAAAGATCCAACGTGGCGTACGGCAAGGCGAGGTCATCTCTCCAAAACTATTCTCTGCAGCTTTAGAACTTGTAATGCGGCAAATCGAGCTGCCTTGTGGCATTGAGATAGATGGCGAAAGACTTCAATACTTGATGTTTGCAGACGACATAGTCTTGATTGGAAGCGAACCGAGTGCACTCGAAAGCTCCCTGAATATTTTGAGCGAAGCCTCCCAATCCATTGGACTTGTAATACATCCAGGAAAAACCAAATGGATGAAAAACAACTATACAAATGACTATCGTTTATGCCAAGTGAGGAAGGCGGATCAGTTCATTGGAGGAATGTCTCATCGTTTCACATAAATCTTGGGCCAAGCTAATTACCGATGGATAAGTGATCTTACGGAGAATATCAGGCCGCGTCTTGAAAGGCGGGATGGGCCACATTTAACAAATACCGAGATGTTCTCACCGATAGACGGATTGAAACTCAAATAAGATCTCAGGTGTTCAACACCCATGTTCTACCAGCACTGGTATATGGAAGTGAGACATGGAGCACAATCAAAGATGAGGAGAGAAGACTAGCTGCTACGCAAAGGGCAATGGGCGACGGCAAAGTGTCGAGCTAACACTAATCGCACAAGATCCCCTGCCTCGCGAAATCCGAAGACGGACGGGCGTAAAGGATGTTATCGAAACCATTTATGACTCGAAAAAGAGATGGGCTGGACACGTAGCTCGTCTTGACGATAACCGATGGACATATCGCGTAACCAACTGGTATCCTCGTGGTGTAAAAAGGCCACAGGGAAGACCCCCAGCCAGGTGGAGTGATCCTTTTAAGAAACTATATGGACAGAGATGGCAACAAATGGCAAGAAATCGTGATGAATGGCATAGATGTGTCCTGCAAGGATGGCGCAACCAACCTTGAAGAGCGGACATCAAGGTATTCAAGGTAAGGTAAGTGGAGTGTAAAGTGGGGGAAAGTGAGCGATTTCGACGCTATTACGCGCCTGGTCTGGTCGCGAATGGTTTAAAGACACATGGTACGCTCAAACACATTGAGGGCGGAATGAGGCTATCTAGCCTCAGCTGTCGATGTTGTCGTGGTCCCCCTGCCCGAACTGCACGGGCGTCAGAGAAGTCGTAATTCCTTGCCTACGCCGCCTCTCACGTTTATCGGCCAACCCCCCCTACACCATCCGCGCGGCGCGGTCGCGTGCAGCTCTCTTGGCTTTTTGCCAAGTCCTGTAATTGCGCTTTGGAATACAAGTACAACGCAATTTCTTTATGCGGATAACATTTTAGGTGCTGCAAAATAAGAACCGAAGATGATGACAAGGGCTACAACAGCAACTTTGGTGTTTCTGCAATATCCCTCAGAGGCCGCGCATTCCCACAGAACCTGACAATAAAAAGGGACAACATGACAATACAAGCGAAACGCAATTTCCTAACATTTCAGGTATTGCTCATGCTTCAAAGTCCGAATAGAAGGTGATGAAGATGACAAAGGCTATGAACAACAACGAATGTAGATGCAAATAAAACAAAATTGAAAAAAAAACTAAGTAAACGCAATAAATAAAATCGCGTGTGCATTTCTGCGATCCGGCTCGAATCGGGCTCGCTAGAAATACTTCAAACTAACAAGTGGGACGCTCAGGCCGTTTTTATTTTGTTTTGTGGGAATGCGCGGTCTGCGAGGGCTGTTTCAGAAGCAGCACATTGCTCTTAAGTTCTAGCCCTCGTCATCAGCTTTCAGTTCTATTTTGCCCAGAACTTAAAGTTATCCGCATAAAGAAATTGCGTTGTACTTGTATTCCAAAGCGCAATTACAGGACTTGGCAAAAGCCAAGAGAGCTGCACGCGACCGCGCCGCGCGCTACGGTGGCAGTAAAAACGTGAGTTGCCCAAAAAGGGCGGCTTAGCAAGCGCTAATTCGAAGCTTTCCTCACCGGTCCGCGCTGACTCCTGACCCATGCAGTTTTAGGCGCGGGGGGGGCGGGGAACCTACGACACATCGGACAGCTTGGGGCTGTAGTCTCATTACACCCTCCATGTGTTTGAGCGTACCATGTGCCTTCAAAACTGAATCATAATAAGTTCTTCTTTCAAAAGTGTGGCGACGAAATGGCGCCTTTCAGGCTGCGTTTATACTTTGCGGCAGCGTAGCGTAGCGCTTCCAGCGTACGCCAGCGGCAGTGCCGAAGAGAGGATGCATATCGATCTAGCTTCACCAGCGCACCAGCCGGCACGCTGGCGTACGCTAGCGGCACGCTAGCGTACGCCAGCGTTTCTCCAGCGTTTCACCAGCGTTTTGCTAGCGTTTGCAGCGGCAGGGGAGTAGAGACTATGGGAGAGCTGGAGGGTACAAAACACATCGATTGCGCGTCTCTCACTCGCCCTTAGTCTCTACAATGCACATCGCTTCTGCGTCTCCGACGGCCACATAGTCTCTACAATACACGCGTTCGATTCCGCGTCTCTCACGGCCACATAGTCTCTACTCCCTGCCGCTGCAAGCGCTAGCAAAACGCTGGTGCCGCTGGAGAAACGCTCGAGAAACGCTGGTGAAGCTAGATCGTGCCGCTAGCGTACGCCAGCGTGCCGCTGGTGACGCTGGTGAAGCTAGATCGATATGCATCCTCTCTTCGGCACTGCCGCTGGCGTACGCTGGAAGCGCTACGCTACGCTGCCGCAAAGTATAAACGCAGCCTAAGGAAGGTTCAGTACAGGTTGAGATAATCCCAGGATTTCAGTTGTTACCTTGAGGGGTAGCACAGCCAGGACACCTCGTTGAGTTCATATGGGAGCTTACTGGATGAGCTGATTCACGAATACCTACAGCGCGTAATGGTGAAACAATAGAGACCATACAAAATGCCCACTCTTTCAGTGGACATCACCGCTACCTCATGGGAGATTCAAAAACATGCGAGGTGCATGAGGTATGCATGCAAGCGCTTATCACCGTTTCAAGGTTGGCACTTGTGCCATGCATATTAGGGAGCTCGGAAATTCTAGCCTCAGTATGCTTGAATAGGATTTTAGTATCTCGACTAAACTGAAAAAGCTGATGATGAGATCAGCCATTTCCGTCGCATTGACAGTAGGGCACAGCATCTTTGTGAGCTGAGCTGAACATATCGAGGGGGTCGTACTTGGCGGCGGGGGGGGGGGTCGTAAATAGGTCGGTGAGCAGCAAACAGCACAAAAGTGCCTTCGCTAAGCTTGGTGGAGCGGACGGAAAGCTGCAGAACACAGATGTGAAGAAGACTATGAAGTACTAAATCAATTGATTAGTAATATCAGTTGTTGGCATGAACTCGTAAGTGCGTAGATTACTGAATAATACACCTCAAACATTCATGCGTATCGATCTTCCCAAACTCTGTACAAGCATGTGCTTCCAATGGCAAACATCACCCTAACTCAGAAATTGCACCTTCCCACCACCTCTGCGTAGAGGCGTAATGCACGGCGCACACTCGGACCAAATCAAACGACGATAACCGAATAATGCTTTGATTCAATTTAATGGGAATATGTATTTTGAAGGCATATTGAAGTTTGCGAATGAGTATCCTCACAAGGGCACAGAATAAATCGAGCTTTTGTGTGGCTCAGAATGTAGCCTCAGGGTGACCCATCTTTAACAACTTCTAAACTAGCGGGTCTTCATTAAATTTGTAGAGCTTTTCGATAGAGGACATATTGAGCGTTCTGAGGGCGTTTTTAGTTTTGCAAAATGTTGCGAGTGAAAGAAGTTTTTCTCGTCTGAGGCAGAAAAACTCGCTCGCGATTTACGATTCCCAAAAGCCCCCGTCTAGAAAAGCTATCATCCCAAGAAAAAGCTCCGAGATTTCTACCATACTTCTACGATAATAGTGGAGTAGGCTGGAGACTTGATGGTGAGCTGTGAAGCATAAGCGAGGAATCGCAACGTCGAACGTCGAACTTACCCCTGAACCATCACGCAATTCGATTCGACGTACAGCTCACCACCAAGCCTCCACCCTACTGCACCATTACAAACTTTACCTGCTCATAAGTTGCTTGTGAAATGCAGGTTGCAGTTTTGCTATATTTGTAAATAACCTTATAGACTCTATCTACCCAGGTCTCCATTCAACGTTCCACGGTGAGTTTGCAGACTTCCCTGGTCAGTGACTTTCAGATTTAATGCCTTAGAATTTGGTAAGGCTTGTGTGGGCACATGGCTTCAACCGTGGCATCCTGGAGAGCAACAAAACTGCTAAACAGTATAAAATGAGTTGAGGAAACCTTTCATCTCGCGCAGAAAAATTATGTTGTGGAAAACGCCTACACTTATGCGAAAGCCCATTAACAAATGCACCCATAGCTTCCCACCAAAATAGCACCCGGACTGAAAAAAGGAATGTGTGCAGTACATATATACATATGTATATCACAAAATCAACAGAACAGTCAGAAGAAGCTTCTTCGCTGTTATTCACCTTTGAATATCATTGAGAGGTATGCATTACAGTCAGATATTGAAGAAAAAGGCGACTAATGCGACAAATTCTGATCGATTCTGTCTCTAGGAGGCATCGTGCGGACAGTCTGTTAGCTGTTTTATGCCTAATGTTGCTTTGTTGTCTCCTATAGGTCATAAATGAAACATTAGGCTACGTAATTAGAAGAGCACACAGAAAATTTCCTCTGATTCCATTAGCCTTACAATTTGCACAACCCTTTGCACATGAACTACTGCAGCTTTCAAATTTAACTATTGCAAAGCTCGTCATCTCGGTTTTTATTTCCATGGAACCTTGCCTCCCTAAGCTGCTTCTTCAAGCCTGACGGGTAGCGCGTAGCCGATAATGACGTCAAGAATTAGTCGAGTGACACTGGGGATTACTTGCAGAGATGCGTGAATTATCGCCAGAGCTTAGCCTTGCAGAATTATCACACACTCAGGTCAACCAAGCCTTCCTTCTACTCTCCGGGGTGGGGGATCGGTACCAGATTGTTCTAGGGAGATAAAAAGCTGGCTTATTCCTGAGCATGGCCCGCATGCCATACTAAAGGGTATATTGCACACAAATAGCGATCCTGAACGGGAGTAAAATGCATATCGCGGAAGATCTGAATGCCTTTCAACGCTTACTACCGTGTGGCACCGCTTCCCGACAGAAACGCTCCATCCACGTACGCGGTGGGTCCATATGAACGTCTCCTCTGGTGTGCTCAACGGTGTCGGATGTCCGTGTGTGTGTGTGTGTGTGTGTGTGTGTGTGTGTGTGTGTGTGTGTGTGTGTGTGTGTGTGTGTGTGTGTGTGTGTGTGTGTGTGTGTGTGTGTGTGTGTGTGTGTGTTGTGTGTGCCTGTGTGTGCGCTGTGTGTGTGTGTGTGTGTGTGTCGTATAACTTCTGCAAGGCTAAGCTCTGGCGATAATTCACGCATCTCTGCAAGTAATCCCCAGTGTCACTCGACTAATTCTTGACGTCATTATCGGCTACGCGCTACCCGTCAGGCTTGAAGAAGCAGCTTAGGGAGGCAAGGTTCCATGGAAATAAAAACCGAGATGACGAGCTTTGCAATAGTTAAATTTGAAAGCTGCAGTAGTTCATAGGCCCAAGCTTGAAACGAAATTTGTA